CACACATGTAATGCTGACTGAGATCTAGAGCGTTGTTAATTTTAAATCATCTATCCTATTTGTGTTAAGATTATAAGTTAATGTAAATTACTTTAAAACTTATCCTTATTTCTTGTAAATATTCAACACATTTAGATTATCAATGTCTTCCAGATTCCTTGCATCTTTCAATTCCATGGGAAATGCCTTAGAAAGCATTAAATATTATAGGAAAACTGTGAGTAATTTCTTAGACCAGTTTTATTATTTATTTAATAATCATTGAATCGACTCACCAAGCCATGCTTTGCAATAAATAAATCCTTTTATTCAAATGCCAGACAATGTGTTAGAGTGACTTCAGTTTTTTTGCTGAGCCTTTTCCTATTGGTTGATACACACTTATAGTCAATTTGCAGAAAAATGACAAATACTTCCAGGAAATGACCAGAGGGGTGTATCTTTAATTTGACTTAGTTAATAAATCAGGCTTAGTTGGCCATGTCTGACTTATTTTGTAATTTGGGTTTCAGAAAGCAGCAGGGTAAATGAATATAGAAATACTGCCCAGGCTTCTGGAAAGAAATGAGAGATTGAAAAAAAAATTATTCCTTTATTGTCAATTTAACTTTTAAAATCTATTCTTATCTATATTCTTACTGCTTTGTGGCCTCTTTCTTCCTCCCTCATTTACTTTGTTCCTTTGATGTCATCTCCTTGTTTTATGTATGCTTTGTTTTCAGTGTATGCCTTTCCTTTTACTCACTTTTTGCATTGCTGCTTTTATTGTTTTATTGTTTTTTTACGGATTTTAATTTGGGATGTTTTGGAATGCTGTGTCATGCCTGTTCACCAGCACCTTGGGCATTCTGTTGATTGTTTTTAAGTGTGCTCTTTAAATAGATATGGATTGAACACATTTCCCCATCGCATTTCAATGAACTGAACTGTCTGCTTACCGTTTATGAGTGAAAACCCGAAATTAGCAAGAGAAATCCAGGTGGAACCCAGTAATCATGGCTCAACAGGTTGAAACTGGATCTCAGAGAGGAAAATAGGAGACCCTATTTTATGTTTCAGTGTGTGAAAGCCACATCTATTAGTAGCAGTGATGTTGTAGCGCCACCAAAGGGCCAGCAGGTTTACCTACAGCCTCTTCTTTGGTGCTGTGTTAACTGCTTGGAAAGTTAGTGGCACAGCTGGATGATGTACAGCAGCCAGGTTATCAGGTTAGATATGCATCAGTGCTATGCTAATGTTAATTCTTTTTTAATAGACTCTGTTTCCTTTTATGATCATTTCTAATGTAATTATAAAGGAATAACCTTTATATTAATTCTAAAGGCTTAATTACAGTGACTTACTATAGATTGAACGATTTCAAGTGATTTTTTTTTTTTTATCTTACATACTGTTTCTGTTATCAGGGAGGCTATTCCTCCAGTAGTTGAGGATCAGTAGTACAGGGGATCTCTCCAACAAATAAACAACATGTGGGACTGGAAGGAAGCACTAATTACAGCGTTCACCTGTGGTTGCTCTTCTTAACCTTTTTAAACATTTTACCCCTGGAGAATATATATTTTTAGCCCAGTTCAGGTTCCAAATTCATCTATAGATATAATTAAACTGTTGAGAAAAGTAAAGGAAAGTTTGACTGTTGTTTGATATACAAAAAAAGTAAAAACCTGATTCTTGCCTCTTTTTTTGTATCATGTCATAGGTACGTGATGCTATTATTTTCTATTGTCTAAGTCTCAGCAAACACTTCTGCAGTGGAACCCATTCCCACAGAAGGTTCAGACTTAGCACTAGATTCACTGGTTAACCGTTTATCACATTACACTCACCTTAGAAACAAGAGCGTAGACTAATTTCTCTTACTCACTAATGTAACGTTCATTTTTATAGATTTAGCTGAAAGAACCAGTAATTGTTGATTACTGCTTTGATAACCTTCCTTTCTGCATGAAGCGTTATAGTTTATCTGTGAAAATTGACATTTTGAGAAGAGGATTAAATCATTGTTTTTGTTGCTCACTATTGATTTCACTTCTTATACTGGAGTAGGCAGAAAAATATTTCTCCAAATCAGCCCCATCAAGATTATTTTTCACCAGCCTTCACTGCCTATATAACGACACAATAAGCCAGACTCGGCCAACTAACCCTGGCTTACAAACTAGGCCAGTTTGAGAAGCACTTCTCTGGGTGTTCAACTCTGGCTTTTCTGAGCTAGTTTTATGAAATTACTCTGAATTTGGCAAAACTGGAAATATTCCGTCACTGAAGACAAAAGTCGTTGCCTCGAAACTAAAGGAGGCTCACCATTCCCTCTGAGAAAATACCATTTTATACAACTACAGGCAGTCTTAAATAAAAGCAATTGGATCATGTTTTACAACTTAGTTTGAAATGTTTGGATTTATATTGTTTTACTGTGTTAATTAGTGGGATAAATCCTGTGTTTTCGCTTAAAAAAGTGTTGGTTCTAGACAGGGGGCAAAGATGCCCTTGTAGAACTGGTTTTGACCCCTGTACCAAAGACACAGTGCAGAATAAATGTATGATAAATAAATGTATGCATTGGAACAGAAACCACAACTGAAAAGAGGCAACAATTATATATATAATTAGTATAGTTTCAATATAGTATAATATATAACTATATAACTAATTAATAATTAGTATAATATAGGTTATATTAATACAACATACACAAAACAATTCTATTGTATAACATAAAACCACACTGCCCCTACCTGTTAAATTTGGTCTAGGACCACCATTGACTTAAAGCTGCTCATACTGTGAGAATGTCAAACTGGTCCATGTTTAAACAGATTTGTTTTTATTACTATTAAAATTATAGAATTTAGTTCACTTGGCAGTTTCCTGTATTTTTCTATATGATGATTTTATAACGCAGTTTGCTGCTAGATTTTTTTTTTACTGAACTTTGGGCCAAAGTGACTGTAAAATAATCACATTTTATAAGAATTGAGATACATATTTGCTCCCTTCCCTGATGATGCTGATGTATGTTGTGAGAAGCAGCTGCAGTCAGTCATTGTAACACAATGAGCACAAAGCAGATTCATTTCACACGGTGTTCATTTATTGCCTGTTATTCAAACATTCTGTCTAATAATGATATTCCCAGACACCTCCTGCTGGGAGGATTTAGAAGATAAACTAGCAGTTCAGTTTTTAATGTTGTGCTTCCGTGCACTTTGGTCCCGGATCCTGCAGCTGATCGTGAGGCCGGAGCTTCACCACTCATCCGAGGCCCGGTTCGAGTCCTCTTCCGCTACAGCGCAGTCCAGGCGCTGCACGCCGGGGAGCGCCAGGTCCCTTTCGTTAAGTTTCTCCAGAAACGAAGAAAGCAGTCGTTTGTTTAAATGGTCCGTCAGTGTCCTTTCTTCCTCCACTCGCTCCTTGGAGACGTCAGTCCCCGTCGGCTCCGCTCCTTCCGCTTCTGTGTCCATGCCGAGCTGCAGAGGCGCAGAGCGCTGCTGGTTCAAGGGCAACCCGTTCGGGTGCTCACTTTGCCCGGATTCCTGCTCCATCCAGCTCCCCGCGTCCGCCCCGGATTCCGTCTCCATTTGTGATATCAAGCTAGTCTGCAGGGCGGCATTTTCCAGTTCTTTGAGTCGTTTGCTGTGAAGGCCGCAAGCAGGCGTTTCATTACCTGCCGGGCTGTTGTTGTTGTGCGGGGGCTCAGCAGTTTGCTCCATCTTGCTCTGCGTCACTTGAGCAGCTCATAGACTGATGGGAAGCCAAACTGACAGGTGTCGCCTCCTGGTGGATTGAAACAGAACTTCAGCTTTCCCATGGAATTGGAATTTTTGTGTATATAGTTTTGTTTTTTTATTCCTTTTTGTACTTATAAAATGAATCGTTTAGACAAAAGACTGCACGTAGAGAAGCACATTTCTACGAAAGATGATTAGGGCCACTGCAAAAAAAAAAAAAGTTAACTTATTTTTAAATTGTATTTCATTTTAATATGGGAAAAAATTCAGCATTCTGAGATTCTGGGATTAAAGTAAGAATTCTGAGATTAAAGTAAGAATTCTGAGATTAAAGTTAGAATTCTGAGAAAAAAATCAGAATTTTGAGATTAAAGCTAGAATTCTGAGAAAAAAGTTAGAATTCAGATTTTTCCCATATTAACTGTGCTTCTGTACATGCAATCTTCTGTCTAAACTTATAATTTTATAAGTACAAAAAGGAATCAAACAATTTTCGCCATTGTGTTCATAAAATTATTATATATATTCTAAATATTATTATTATTATTATATTAATACATATTATATTATAACAAGCAAAAAACCGATTTGAAAAAATGGAACTGAAAAACTTTTGATAAGTACGATTTTTTTTTTTAAAGAATTTGAAAGATTTTTTTTACGTGTATGGAAATATTGAATTAATGTTTTTACTGGTTGCTTTATTTTATTTAGATTTTGTGGTTTCAAACTTTTCAAATTTGATCTGATTTCATTCATTTCATCTGGAGTTAACACAAGTGGAATAAATAAAATAAGATTTTATCATTCATTTTCATTTTTCATTTGTTAAACTTGGTCTCCCTAAAAACTGTATAAACTACATTTAGGAGAAAGAATGTTTGTTTTATTTAAAACGAAAATAAATCTGAGCATAATTCTCACTTTCAAACAATTCACAGTGAATTCATAAATATTTTTTTCAAATGATAGCAGATGGTATTTGCGACAAAAATTTGGATATAGGAAAATGATCTAAGTGTTTGGTCTAACAAGCAGGATGTTCAAACATTCAATGTAAACTCCAGAGTCTTTACTGAGAAGAAAACTGCCTAAATGGTGTCAGTGGATGGGTTGTTTTTGTTGCTGTTTTGCTTTTTTTTATATATATATATCCCTTAAAATGTATCAGAAGTTGACAGAACCCCGTGTTAATTTTCACTTTCAAACAAATAAAAATATTACGTCTAGCTTCATGAATTATTCTCTCTTTCAGTGCTTTCAAGTCTTTTGACTACTTTGACTTTCCGTAGACTACAAATCGTTCCCATAGCGACCATCTAGGCGGAGGAGACTACTGAAGGGTTTTATGACGATACCAGGTAGCAAAACCTTGCTTGTTAACAGTTTAGAAGGCGTAAAATAAATGTCCCCTATGTTGTACACGATGGGAGCTTTTAAATTAACAAGTCAATAAAACAAACGTTAGCTCTATGCTAGCTTCGAGCTAAGAAGCTAAAGGCTTTGCTAACTCAGCTGGGAAATGGACTCACAAACTGAAGCGAATAGTTAACCTGCTCAGCTTGTACTTATAATCTATAATGTTGTTTATAACAAATAACTATTAACTGAACAATGAAAAGATTTTGATTTGGCTGTAACACTAATTTATCATTCTTTCTTTCAGATCGACATGTCCTTCAGAGACCTAAGAAGTAAGTTAAACCTCCTATTTTCTCAACCTTTTAAACAATGACCGGTATATTGGAGTATAATTGGGTTTTTTATTTGGCAGATTTCACAGAAATGATGAGGGCTTTGGGCTATCCTCGCTTGATATCTATGGAAAACTTCAGAACACCAAACTTCACCCTTGTAGCAGAAATCCTAATATGGCTTATAAAGAGGTATGTTTAAGCTTTATAAATCTAAATGCTCGGAAGGAAAGCAACTATGATATATATATATATATATATATATAGAAAGTTCATTTACACATTCCCCACAGAACATTTGCATTGAACTGTTCTAATTCGGCTTCACAAAGATGTTCTGTAAAATCGATGTACTTTTTTTAACTTTTTTTCTTCTTTTTGTAGATATGAACCTAACATTGATATTCCCACCGATGTGGAGACAGAGGCTGACAGGATATTCTTCATTAAGGCCGTAGTTCTGTTCATGGTGAATTCTTTCTCAAATGTTTGACATATAATGTTCTTAACTGTTAATACGATTCCCGCCAGTCTAAATTAACTGCTATATGACCTGGTTTTAGGGGAGCAAGGCACACATCAAGCTAAACACCAAGCACCTCTACCAGGCTGAAGGTTATGCAGTGAAAGAGATGCTGAAGATTACGTCAGTGCTGTACAATTCTATGAAAACCAAGCAGATGGCTACCGAGGATGTTGTGAAGGAAGATAAAAACAATTTCAAATTTGACCTAAGTTCAAGGGTGAGACTATTACCCTCATTCATTGTTTGTTTTAAGCAGTAGCGTAAAATGTGACTTGGGGGGGTCTCTGTATGTCATTTCCGTAGATTTCTGATCTTAAAGCGGCTCGTCAGCTGGCATCTGAAATCACATCCAAAGGAGCGTCGCTGTATGATTTATTGGGAAAAGAGGCAGAGCTCAGGGTGAGGAAAAGACATCTTTTTTTTTTCAATACAATGTTTGTATAAATAAATAAATGGGAATATTTTTAATCTGTTATTGGTGAATATGTTTTATCTTAATTTTGGTGCGTTTTTTTCAGCTTCTGTAAACAAAGCATGACTTCAATAGCTCTGAATTGTGTAGCTTTGTTTCCCTAAAGTCATCATAATGCTAAACGAGAGCAGTGATGTTCCAAAAAGAGTTGCCTCTCTTTCATGCGTTTAAGACACGAGTAACCGTATTGATTGTTTTTTTTTTTGTCTTATTCTATGGTGATCACAGGAAATGAGAACTGCTGCCATTGCTCGACCTCTTGAGATCAATGAGATTGAAAAGGCACTGAGAGCTGCCATTAAGGAAACTCTAGTCAGTATTCTTAAAGTTTATCATTTTAATTTGTGTGTTTTCATCAGCACTTGTCATGAGCGCGCCACCCATCAAATATTTTATAAATGAAAGGTGTTGTATGGTTTTTATCACAAGGTGAGTGTGGAGAAGACCAAAGAGATGCGAAGTAATGTCGTCTCAGATGAGACCAGCCTGGACTCTAAGTTAAAGAAGAAGAAACAGGACCTGGAGAGGCATCAGAAGAGGCTGCAGACGTTGCAAAGTGTCAGGTCAGTTTGACTGTGTTTTTGAAATTTGGAACAAGGCTTTTAACAACATTTGAAATCATGCCACTGTAATTTTGATTGGATTATTATAGGCCAGCCTTCATGGATGAATATGAAAAGATAGAAGAAGAGCTGCAGAAACAATATGAAGTATTTGTGGAGAAGTTCCGAAACCTCACCTTCCTGGAGTCACAACTGAATGAGTATCACAGGCTGGAGCAGGAAAGGTTTGAGGTGTGTGAATGGAATCACTTAGAATATAATTTAAATGTAAATTTTTAAATTATAAACTTTGGAATTGGTTTTAATTGTAGAAGTGGTCTACTTCTTTGTCTGTCTTGTGTGCTCCTTAGGAAAATGAAAACACCCTGAGGATAATGCAACACAAAATAAGGGAGGAGGAGAGAGATCTGATGAAGAGCTCATGTATGTTACACCTACACCAGAAACATGAAGCAAAACTCACACAATCCAAACCTGCTTTTCCAGAAGTTAACTCTTGTTCCTCTTGGCAGTAAAAGACTCTGACTCTGATTTGGACGTTCTAGAGGATGAAGGGTCAGACAGCGACCTTGAAGAATCTCGTCCATCTAAGCCACGACCAACAAGAACCAGCCTCATGGGAGGTAAGCAGATGGACTGTAGCCATGTAAAGAAATATAAGGAAATGTTGATTCTCACAAATCTTATAACATAAGAAAATGTTAAACAAATATCTCCTTTTTGAGAGATATTTTCTTTAAAAAAATGTATTTTATCATTATGCAAAAGGATTTCTTTACAGAAATTTTAGATTATTTACTTTCATCT